TGGACAATGATCTTTTGAGAAAATCTTATGGAAGAAATCAGTAAATACAGCAGAAGAATTATCAGTTAAAGATAAGATAAGAAAAAAGAAAAGAATTAATGCTTTCATGATCAGTTTTGTATACAGAATAAAATGATTTTCTAATGACAAAACAAGTATTTATATCGAATGAAAGAAAAGAATAAGAAGAAATATCTAAACTATAATGATTTTGTTTATCTTTGTATTACCTAGATTTATAAAATACAGAAAGAAGAAAAAACATGTGTTATTATTTTACCATATGAACTTTTAACTCGAAATATTATAGAACGTAAGGTAAAAATTCGAGTGAAATTTATTTTTACTTTTTTCCTACATGAATCGATCGAACATGAGCTGCTGATCACGGTGAACTACTTTTTTGAAGCTGTTTTCTAGTCAAAAATCATTATGTTTTTTTTCTTGGAATTTTTAGAGAATATTCCTTTCAGATTCAGCATTCAAAACTGATTCTGGACAAGGTCTGAAATCGGTATTAACTCAAAAATTCTTTTTATCCATCGAATACTCATATTCAAACCAAATGCCTTGAAATTTTTGCACTAGATTTTATTTAACGTATATATACTTTCCTTGAACTAAACTTATGTTTCATGAATATGCTTTACAAAAACATTGAGAAAATAATTTCATGTGATTTTGATTAAATATTATTTTCATTGATCAATATTACACATTCTTATGTTTTCAATAAACAGATTTATTTATTCTATGAATCAATGCCAAATGTCAGAAACATGTATGTCAGTTCGACCTCATAAAAAGTTTTTTGAGTTTCACCTAGAGATATTTAAAATGACCTTTGAATATTGAAAGAGATTTTGTTGTCATTATTAATACATATATGTTGGCTCTTATCGATTATTTTTGAATTAGTTTGTAGATTGTGTACAAAGTAAAATTAAGTCCTAATGATTGCATTTTATATATAGTTTTTTAGATGGTTTTATGCACTTATTACTGAATATTAATAAAGTTAAATTAATATTCAATAAAAACAATTATCTCTGTTCTATTTTATCAAACTTTCCTTGGGTCGAAATCTTATTTGAGTCTTTTTAAATAATATTTTATATAAAAATTCTTGATACTTTATTTAACTCTTGCTGGAAGAATCGTCGTAATTTGAATATTTTGCGTATATCTTAAATCTATTTTATCTTTCTAATAAAATATTGAGCTTATATATTTATTCATATTCTCATTGACAGTCAATTTCAAATTGAATAATTTATGTTCTTTAAATGAAACGAGATCTCTTTTCATATTTAATTCTATTCTAGAACATAGATTTATTGTTAAATGAAGAGATTTTAATGTATAAAATAATTTTCAAAAATGCTATGAAAAAAATGAATTTCATTAAAGTTAAATTAACCTTTAGCTAGTCCAAAAAGAGAAACGCAAATTTTTTTTATGAAAGATTATTATTTACCTGCAGCATTATTAAAAAAAAAGACGGTTGAAAAGTAACAAAAAGTAGCGTTTGTTTTCAATATAAATAAGTATAAAGATTATTATCATACTTAAACTGTATTCATCAATAAATAATTAGTTAAATAAGATGTCATCTATCAACGTTACGATTAATCAAATAAATACAACAACAACAGTACTTGTTACGGTTTTATCATTTTTTAGTTTTGTCTTTGGTGCAATTGGTCTTACGCTAAACATTCTTGTTTTTAGACGTCCATTTTTACGTCGTGAACCATGTGCAGTATATTTTTTCTGGTCAACATGTTATAGTTTATTGGTTGTATTTGTAATTATGCCTGTACGTATTCTTTCGGACGGATACAATATAGATATATCTACTTACAATATTGTAATTTGTAAAACAGAAATTTTTCTTTTTCATGTCATACGTACAATATCTTGTTGGTTGATTGTATTAGCGTCTATCGATAGATATTTCAATAGTTCGACAAAAGCTCAAATTCGTCGAATGAGTTCACTTAAAGTAGCACGAATAGCAACAGCATCTATCAGTATTCTGATCATTATTTTATATTCACCTATAATCATTTATTATGATATAACTTATTCAACTAATGGATCTGGTAATATTGTGCCAAAATGTAATAGCAGAGAAGGTATTAATCGTTCGTTTGATGTATTCTGGTTTTTGATTTTATATTCTCTTTTTCCATCGTTATTAATGGTTCTCTTTAGCTTCCTTACAATCATGAATCTTCGTCGACATCGTCAAATCGTTCCTAGAGATCTTGGAAATAATTTAGTTGTTCGACGTACAGATACTCAATTCTTACGTATGTTAATTGCTCAAGTATTTGTCATTGTCGTTTCTACTTTACCATTCTGTATTGTTCAAATTTATGGATGGTATACAGCAAATTTAGCTAAAAATGTACTGCGACTTGCTGTAGAAAATTTAATATATCGAGTTACAGGTACAATACCATATTTTGCACATATAAGTAGCTTTTATATGTATACATTAACGCGAACTATTTTTCGTGAAGAATTGTTCAAGATCATGAAACGATGTTGCCATCCAAATTAAAATCTTATACTGGTTACTCAAGCTGAAACGCAGAATATGTCTACGTTACGTAGAAATCTTAAATGTGAACTTAAATGTTGTTTATCTGAATATATGTTTTATTTTAAATAATGTTTCATCTCTTATCGAAAGTAGAGAATGTTCAGTAAAACATTCACTATATTAACTTACAATTTAGTCATATTAAATGTTTATATTCATAAAATATATCCATTCTGAGTTTTTCATGTTAAGCGAGATATAGTTGAAAGAAAAGATAAATCAAGGGTGTAGAGGTTAAAAAGATACTCACATCCATGCTCTTTGTTATCATAGAAAATGCACTATTTCAACTTAGACATTCTTATAATTATAAATAAATTAGAGTAATCAAAAACTGCTTTAGGAAATTGTCGATTATTATAACACTGAGCAGTTTTTTCTTCATTATATGTTATATAGAAAATGAAAAACTATATTAGACATTCTTTCCACCCATGATAGGATCGATGACATTAACAAAGAAGAAAAGACAATGAGCAACTCATCACTATGCTATTAAAACAAGATGAACGCAAGAAGAAAAAAGAGAGAAAGATATAAAGAAATAGTTTGATTTACTAAACATCAAAGGTAAGAATAGTACAATAGCAGGTTACAATAAATTCCCATCTTAAAACAGAAGACAAAGTTTAGATAGAGGGTGTGAAGGTAACATATCGACGCCACCCACACCCTCACTGAATTGTCGGATTATATAAAATTCTGATATTAAATGATATTATTAACAAGATATTCGTCTAAATTTTTGTAGTCATAATCGATATTAATCATAATGTTAGTTATATCTAAGAGTACCCACAAAAACTGGAAATGAATATCAATTTATATATGTCTTTGACTTCTGCACCATATTTATATATAAATGGTACAGTTATGATACATTAGTTACTTATGACAATAATCTAAACTATTAGAGAATAAAGATTGACTATAGAAAACAGAATCATAATTTAGAAAAACTTTATTATTTGTCTCATAAGTTCTACTATGATAGATTTTTAAACTTTTACCATCTCTGAAAATCCTATTGTTAATAATAACGATCAATATTCTTCTAATAAATCAAATATGATGACTCCAAATTCTTTTCTTTATTTATTCAATCGAAACAATTGCACCTGATATTCATATTTTGTGTTGAAATTAGGATACAATACAGATCAGAACAAAGAGATCATGTGAAAGTATGTAAAGTATATGTATTATTTATTTTATGGCAAGATAATAATAAAAGATTAATCAATGGATGTTGTGAACTTATAATGTAAAATAAATATTGTCTTAATACTTTCACAATTTCCCTTCTATTATTTACTTCATTAAAATACTTCGTCGATACAAAAGTTGTTTATTGAAATTTTCTATAAAATTAGATATAACTGAATTCAAAGCTAATTTTACACATATTAGAGA